TCCGATCCCCCCAAAACCCCAAAACCCCTTGCTCTAGAATTTTTATGAATTAATTACTTAGCTATAAATACTCAAATAAAAACTCTATTCGATTATCAATTCGATTTTGAAGCCTAAAATTAATCCCTTAAATTATGATCAGACTAGTTTGGGGATTTTTACTTCTTTTTACTTAGTTCTGATTTCTATCTCTTCAATAAAATGAATTTCTTAAATTCCAATCCACTCAATATGAAGAATGGAAAGCAGCCAACATATGAAAATAAAACTGTTGTTCCTAAAATATAGCCAAATCTATCAGGATTATTATCAACATCAAAATGATCTCCAAAGACTCCCAGAATAAATGTTCCAATAGCGCCAGATAAGCATCCCAAAAGTTAGAAAGCAGCCACTGCTACGCCCTAGAATTCACTAGGAAAGATCTAATTAATCACAGAAAAAGTAATGCCATACCACACTTCAGCAGTAAGATAAGCAAAATATAATCCTGCAATTGAGACCCAGAAATTTACTTATAGTAAGAAGCATATCACTATAAAGATGCACGATGAAAGTGCACCAAATCCTGAAATATACCCTTTTGCCTGAGGATATTTAGACTCATATCTATCCCCTAAGAACCCACCTATGAAACTTGATGGCATTCCCCCGAAAATAGTTACACAGGCATTTAATATAGAGTACCATTGAACGTCATCAGGGTATGTTTTGGTAAAGAAATTAGCTCCCCAAAACCCTATGGAATATCCTCCTAAGAATCGTAAAAATGAAGCGATCAAAATGTATATGAAACATCTGTTACTGAAAATAATCTAAAAAAGGTTATAGGATCAATATTTGAGTTTTATTTACTTTAAGCTTATCTTTGATTTCTATCACTTTTGGTTATTTATTTATATCCTCAGTTGATAGCTCTTGAGTATTTTCTTAGTTTGTCAAATTAGGTTCTATATCTATTTATTGCCTTTATGGTTCTCTCAAAATTAGACTAAGGAGCCCGAACGCTGTACATATTGTGCATACTATTAAAATAGAATCTCTCCAACTATCGAATAAATTATTTATTAATATTTACCCAAGAGCTCTGTCAAGCAGAAGTGTAAGTGAACTTAATCCAACTCCTATGTAAATACCAAAACAATAAAATGAATTAGCCTTCCCTAAGCTCTCAGAATCAAAATAGTCATTGATAAGACTAACTGAGATTGGCACACAAGCAGATAAAAACAGTGCATTAAAAATCCTAGGAAATAAAACTTCAACAAAACTGTGAGTGAAGTAGCTCAATGCAGTCATGGCATTCATCATTAATGCGCATAGCAGCAGCAAGTATTTCCTTTTTGTAACTTTGTCTGCTAAATATCCCTAGAGACAAAAGAAAATTTACAATCATGTATATCATACCATAAAGAGCCCGAATATACAGTTTATCAAAGTAAAAGCTGTACCTGTAACAGTACCATACTAAGTATCACTCATACCTAGATCTATTTATATATTTGATTTAGGAGATTTTCCATCTTTTAGGTAAACAAATACTAAAATTGATGTCATTAAGAGGAATTAGATTTACTGTATGTATGCCATTAAACTGAAACATGATTAAGGAATAGAATGACAAGGAAGAGGATGTTTAACTTTGAGTCAAAACCTTATCATTGATCTCTTTTTACTGGTAGCACTTCTATCTCCTAAATTGAAATAGTGTCTGAATTATTCTAAGGTGTAAGTAGAGACAATTTCTCTTAATCATGTTTAATTTCCATTACAAATTATTTAATCAAGATTTTATATTTCACCTCTTTTAATTGCAGATTTTATATATAGGGGTTTTGGGGTTTTGGGGTTTTGGGG